TGCTGGGGGCATGAATTCAAGATTTGGGGTACACGAACAAAAGTAGTTTGGAGACCACTGACTTAGACCCATCCAGATGCCATGCAAAGGACGGATGGGAGAAGGGGGAGATAAGGAGGTGCCCCAGTGGGGCAAGAGGTCATGGTGGCCTGGATGGGGTTGGTGGTGGCTTTTGGGAGCATAACACACATCAGAGGGCACTTAGGGAGAGAATGTAGATGCAGAAAAGAAAAAGGCTAAGCAGAGTCTGGGATCTGCCGACATTCAGAGCCCAGTAAGGAGGAGGCAGCCGCGGTGTCGGGGAAGGAGTATAGCGCGGGGCGGGTGGGGAGGTCAACAGGCATAAGTGACTCTGAGAGTTTTGCTGTCATGGGGAGTAGAGAGCTGGCCTGTGGCTGGCAGATGTCACCCTCCTCTGACCACCTGTACTTCTCAGTGAGGTACGAGGTGTGCGGAGATCAGGGTGGAAAGAAGGTATGAAACAGAACACGGAGGGGGAAAAGGAGAAGGCTGGGGCCAGTCTGTGCTCTTTAGACTTGAAGCGAACTGACATCCTCCGGTCTTCCTCTCGTTCTGGATTCTCTCGGTCACCATAAAGGAAGCGCAGGCACGCTCTGATAAAACCCAACAGTCTCGGTGAGGGACGTTCTAGAAGGAGGAGGATGCCACCGGACTTCATGGAGCGCGGCAGAGGCTGGAAGCAGGGCTTCTGATTCGCTGGGGCCCAGGTGTGCTGGGGAGGGTGTGGACAGGCTGGTGGTGAGCTGCCTCTCCGGAGACACCCCGAGGACTGCAGAGAATGAGCTCGCAAAAAGCAAGCCCACGTCTGTGCAGAGAGCACTGCAGGCAGCAGGGCTGTCCCCCGCCATCGGAGGGTGAATGTGCCCCTTGTGAGTGCCATTGCTGTGATGACATCACGGCGCGGCAGACGCTACTTTGCGCCGGGGCACTCTAGGCTAATGTAATCATACGATTACATAATTAACCCAGCTGTCTCATTAAGAAAATCAACTGGAATTCAGGGCATAATTAGTCATACAGCAATTAGCATGCTGATGAGCAACTGATGAAAAGCTGTCTAGATATCAAGTGTGCCAGGACCACCCCGGTTACGGCAAAGGGGGGAAGAGGTGACACACCTCCCCACGCAAGCGAACCCAGGATCCCCAAGTCCCGGTGGGTGAGTTCCTGCACTGGGTCCAGGGACCAGGAAGGAGATCGGCAGGGAGAGCCCAGAGGAGGAGAGGCAACACCCAAAAGTGGCGTCCAGAGCTTAGCCGCCCATCTTGTCACGTTTGCCTTTCTTTAAAATGTAGCTAATTCCTCAGCCAGCAAACCTTCGGTGTGCAAAACACAGAGGCTCATCGGGCCCCAAATTTGCTTGAAGCTGGGCAAGGAGGGTAGAGAAGCTACCTCCCTGTCTGGTTTACAGTGACCCCAGTGCTGGGCAGAGTGTGACTGTCCCTTGGCCTCCAGTCCCCAAGCTGCTTCGGGATCAGCTCTGGCCCAGGGGAGAGACAGGAGGGCATCTGCAACCCACAGCCTTCCTAGCTCGGCCCCGGTTCCTCTTCTGTCTCATCAGGGTGCTGGTTGGTGGCTGATTCTTACGTGTGAATGAAAATGTTTTATGAAGGTAAACTGAAAATGTGCAAAGGGGATCCTGAGGTTAGAGTTCTCTCTGGAGGGGCCAGGGCACCAGCCTGGCTGCCAACACCAGGAGATCTAGAATACACGGACTGGAGTAGCCCCACAGGATCAGGCTGGAGCGGCCACATCCCTACAGTCTTAAGAAAATGCCACCAAGGAGTGTGTCCTTTACAACCTTGGTACGAGAAGCAAGGGCTGTTTCTAACTAAATCCTCAGATTTCGTTTTTTTTTTTTTTTCCAGGAGTCTTGCTATTGGGATCCTTGAGTCGGGGACAGGCAGGGAAGGAGGAAGAACAGACGTAACAATATTTTCCAGTTTTAAGTGATGGTGTGTCCTCACTGGAAACAGGCATGTCGGGCACAAAGGCCCAGATGATTATTGTCTTCTTATGGAGGAGCATTAAAAAGCAGTTCTCAAAAATGATGACGTTCTACTTTATTTCTGGATCCTCAAATGCTAGGCGGCTGGTATATTTACCAGGGCAGGTTTTCCCGAATGCAAATTACAACCTCCCGGGGGGGAGCAGGGGCATTTTCAAGGGAGCAGGGGCATTCTCGAGCAGGTTCTGAAAACGGAGTGGCTCTCCTTCAAGACTTCTGCAAACTAACACCTCGACTTACATACACCTGCAGGCCAGTTATTCCACGGAAATAAAGGGAGGGCGGGCGGTCGTGAAACATGGAGTTCTAGCAGTGTTTCATGAGTCAATGAATATTTTATATCACTGGTAATGTGCTTCCTCAGATTTAAATCTTAAAATAAACCCTTCCAGGCACTGCCTTTGTGTTTGAAGGGTTTGTATCTGTAGGACCTAAGCCACATCTTAGCAAGGAGTGAAAGATGAATCTCTCTGTTGGGGGGCCGCGGACAGAGGCAAGGCGGCGATGGAAGCTTGCAGAGAGAGGCTCTTCCGATGAATCTGTACCCAAAGCAGAGAGGCTCTGTAGCCCCCTGTGCACAGGTGGGAGCTCCACCCCCACTCTCTTTTTCCCCTTCCTAAACTTCAAAAAAAAAAACCACACTGTGACCAAGATGTTTCTGAGACAGAAAGACACGGTTGTGTCTTACACAAATTGGTAAGTGTCTCACAAATACTCAACTGACGGGTGCTTCAATTCTGATCTGTAATCCATTAATAAGGGCTATTCAGAAACGAAGATCATGATTATTTTCCTGACTTATGCTCCCCCCCCAATTGTACAGATAAATACACACTCATTGTAAAAAAAAAAAAAAAATCCGGAAAGTATCAAGAAGCAAGAGCAAGTCACCCACGCAAGGTTAACTCCTGGCAGATTATGCATACCATCATAATTCTGCTCAGAATACAGTAACATTCCAGCTCTGCAAGAGCCTTTTTAAGAGGTCATTCTAGAATATTTCCAGCTATCGGAGAGGATCACACTTTAAGAGCGGGGCCATTTGTTTCTCCTTTCAATGCAGTTAGGGACGGAGGCTGCCTGTTTAACTGTGGGGATATTTTCTCAAAGGCTGTATAGTCTCCCACCACGCAAAAAGGAACCACCCAGGGGCTAGCAAGGGCTGGCTCAATCCCGTTTGTACCTTAGGTGCTCTAGGGCCTGGCACAAAACGCACCGCCAGAAAGTGCTGGCCGAGGGAATGTGTTATAGGACCTGTTAAACAGTACACCTCGAACCTTTTCTTACACACTCAGGATCACTGCTGTTGACGGATATTCACTGACCGTGGCTCTCACCCACAAATACAGATGCCCATGCAGAAGGATGCTGGCCTCCTGGGGGAACCGGCCGCAGAGGGACTCCCCCTCTGGAGGGGCCTCGCCCAGGTGTCCTTACCAAGTCATGTTGTTGGCAGATGACTGTGATGCTCTTGTTCATGGGGCTCATCATCAGCAAGTAGTAAATATAAATCTCAACCAGAGGTACATTAAAATAGAAAAACTTAAATATGTCCAAGTTGACGCTACCCCTATAGGTTGACCATAAACATTAGGATAAAAAAATCTGTCCGTGATGAAACTGACAGATGAAGCCATCTTGACTAACGTAGTAAAATCCTCTTATTTATGAATCGAAATGTAAAACCGCTCTCCTACCTCCATGACATTGACAATAAAGGCAAAGGCCATTTTCAATTAGAACAACGATGAGACAAGATACTAGAAATCAGGAAGACAGGTTAATCCTCCAAACTGTCTGTTGGTCTTGCTTTTAAGATGGATTTATTTATTTTAGAGAGAAAGAGGGTGGGGGGGGGCAGAGGGAGAGAGAATCTCAAGCAGACTCTCCGCTGAGCGTGGAGTCCGATGCTGATCTCACGACCCCAAGATCATGACTTGACCAAAATCAAGAGTCAGACGCTTAACTGACTGAGACACCCAGGCGCCCCTATTGGTCTTCCTTTTAATTAATAAACCAGAGGGAATCATGTAAGTAAGCCCTGAAGGAAGTGACGCTGCTCTCACCGTGTCCTGGCGAGGGCTGTCCCGGGCACCTTCCTCAATCATCTACCCTACCTCCTTCATGCAGCTGAAATCCGTCCATTTCCCTCTAATTTTACTCCCGCCGCCCGAAACTGAGTGACCTCAACTCTCCCTCCCCATGTCCTCTTGGGACATCTTTCTAATCTGTGGTCCCAACTGCAGTCAGGATGATTTTTTTTTTTTAAGATTTTATTTATTTATTTGACAGAGACAGAGAGAATGAGCATAAGCAGGGGGAGCAGCGGGCAGAGGGAGAGGGAGAAGCAGGCTTCCCGCTGAGCAGGGAGCCCGATGCAGGACTTGATCCCAGGACCTTCGGATCAGGACCTGAGCCGAAGGCAGATGCTTAACCGACTGAGCCACCCAGGCACCCTCAGGATGACATTTTTATTACACCCATAGGATAGTGTCATTTCCCTGCTTAGAAGCCATCCCTAGTTTTTGTCTGTTAGATGAAATCCAGAATCCTTCACATAACCTACCAGGCCCCTGCCTGCCTTTGCAGCTAGGGAACCACAAGGGTGTGCGCCCCTTACTCGGGCATAACTATTAGCAGTGCCCCCTTGACAGTGTTTTGGTTTAGATGACATCATACTTGGCCCCTCTTGTCACTGCCCAGGGCGGCTGCCTGGGACCCGGCCCAGCCCTTTCCGATCTACACTCTCATTCCCAATGGGCACTGTCTCCCAAATACTTGTCATACCTACACTTGAATTACTACGTGTGTGATTACTTTTAATGCCCACATTCCCACCACCCTCTGAAGTCCATGAAAACAAGAAGCCATCTGGCTGATTCACTCCCGACTCCACCCCTGGGGCTCAGCATGGTTCTGGGGCCCCAGGGAGGGCCAGCTTCTGAGGCGCTTACCAACTAACCCCTGGGAGGGAGGGGTTGCAACAGTGCGGAAAGAGAGCGTGCTTTGGCCGAAGCAAGCAGGGTATTTCCGATAAAAAGCATCTTAAAATACTCTCAAAATGGACCACGGAGTGAAGAACAATCTGGTGGCAAAGGAGGAAGAAGGTAAATATGGGGGTCTTAACTATTTTATCTGTTTGGGGTGACTCATCAGGACGATTATATATCTACATGTTTATTCAGTGTCTTTAATACGAAGGCGCCTTGGCGCAGAGAAATACCATTATTTGGGATTTGGGATTTGGAAGGTGAACAAGAGGAAGGAGCCAGGGCTCCACAGTTTCTTCTCCCTCCAGAGTGCTCTCCCTGGTGCCAGCGTCAGTCAATCTCGGGAGCATGGTCCAATATGGACAATGAAATACTGCACAACCTCAGAAAGCATGCTGAAGAAATAACGTGAGCCTTTAATTTATTCATTCAACCAGTATTTATGGAGTTTCTGCTATGGGGCAGGCATTGGGGGAGACACTAGGAAAATGAGGAGGGACAAGACCACATTGCCCGTCTCCCTGCCGGGTCAGAAGGGAAAATAGCGGAGTACCAATAGTTATAACAGAGGCAAACACAGGGTGCTGGGAGTGGGTGCGTGTGTGTGTGTGTCAAGGGCTAAGCAGACCTGGTAGGTTACGCAGCAGTGTCTCAAGTTCATCTGGAGGAGTAAGGTATCAGCTGAGAGGGGGCCTGGCCTGCCTGCAGGTGAAGAATAACCCATTCCTACAAGCATGGAGACTCGATTCCAGATACTGTAGACATGAGGGGAGTGGCCTGAATTACGAAGTGGAGAGCAGAAGCAGGGATGGAGAGAAGCGGATGGAATCGAGAACATTCTGGAGGCAGAATGGCCAGGACGTGGTGACCCCGCGCTGTGGTGTGAGCAGCTGGGTTGAAGGTGGTGCTGCTCGCTGAGAGAGGCAATGCAAGAAGGAGCCGGTCTGCTCCGGACACGCTGGGTGGTTTTGGGGTGCCCATCAGTCATCCCAGTGGGTATGCCCAGGAGCTAGTGGATATGCAAGCTGACAATCGGAGGAGTCAGAACTGAGCCGGGATGGAGCTTTAAGACCCACTAGTGTGCCCCTTGGCGAGTTCTGCTGCTGAGGACTCCAGGGTGGCTCTGGGATGATGCAACCCCTCGGGGCATGCAACGTATCACGGCTGCGGTATACCAGGCCCTGCTCCAAGTCCTGGGCACAGAGTGATAAAGCAAAGCTGTCCTCAGGGAGCTTTCATCCCAGTAGGACCACAAGGTGAGAAACAAGGAAAGACACAAAATTTCCGGATTGGGGTGGAGAGGTGGGGAGAGGGGGCGCACCTGGGTAGCTCAGTCTCTGGAACTTGCGACTCTTGGTTTCAGCTTAGGTCATGGTCTCAGGGTCATGAGATCAAGCCCCCCGTCAGGCTCCACGCTCAACGTGGAGTCTGCCTGACATTCTTTCTCCCTCTTTGCTCCTCCCCCTGCTAATGCACTCTCTCTCTTTCTTTAAATCTTTATTAAAAAAAAATGTACGGATAGGGGACGGTGGAGGTTGGTTCTGTCAGATTTCTGGGCCAGCCTCCTTAGTTGGTGGGGCTTTGTCTCCACCTCTTCCTGGAGCCAGCTGGTCGGCTCTTCCTGGGTTCCTGGAGCTGGGCCATAGGACACAGAGCCGAAACGTCCATCCCACTATTCCCGAGAGCTGCCTTGACTTTTCTGGCGTAGTTTAAGTTGCTGTTTCTTACGACTAGAACTTAACAGCCCCCCCCCGCCAATGTTTCTGGGTTCAGCTGGATTGTGGCCTGAAGCACACAGCAGCTAAGGCATCCTGACACCTCCTAACCGCCTGACTGTCAGTAAATGCAATGCTGTTGACCAGGCCCTTCCTGGAAGGCTCGGCCGCAGGATTACTTCATCTGAGCAATAAGCAGACTTCAAAACCCAGGCAGATTCCTCCAAGGTCCATTTCTGCTTTTCAAGGAACTTAGATTTGTCAGGCCACAGCGTTTGTAAGAAAGAAAGACCTAGGAGGTAAGCAAAAGCGATCTACGGGGCATGCAGATGTACTCTGATTGACTTCTACTCTAACAGAAAATATCAAACGTCATTTGCTCCTACCGCCTTCAATTGAAACGGCAAGCTCGAATTCTCCAGCCAAAAACGAGAACTATGAGGAATATCACCAATATGGGAAAAATGCCGATGGTGTAACATTAAACGACAAAAGCAGAATATAAATACCTACCCATGTTATGATCAAAATTCTATAAAAATTATAGGTCTATGAATGAAGCCTGCTCAGGCAAAGAGGAGTGTTGATTCAAAAACCATCTCTTCTTTTTCTATGGGAAATTAAGATGGAGTATAACTGCAGAAGGAGAAAGCCAGTAACTTGTTAAAGTGACTGCCCGGCCGAGAAACTTCACTAAGGGAAGACCCAGATACAAATGGACTTGAGAGTGTAGGTTATTTAGAAAACAGCAGCCAAAAGACTCTCTGGGTCTTTGGCAAAGACAAAACAAGCCTGCCCCCTTTCAACTAAGTCACCCACACAAAACTGGCAAAAGAAAATGCAAGCAGGCCCACCAAGCTGCCGATTCCTGAGAAACAGTGCACGTCAGGCATCAAATGATCCAGTTTCTGTGAAGAATCCTCCTCATGAGCCTTGCCCAGGGTGTTTGGGGAGCCCCTAGGTGGATACAAACTCTTACAGTAAATCAGATGGCCAGAATTTGGAACTACGGGCTGGATATGCTCCCAAGACAGCGAAAAGTTAGAAGAAAGAAAACCATTCTCATCACTAGGCTGTTCCCCTTATTCCATTTCCCAGATGAGAAAGCTGAGGTCCAGAGAAGAAAAGGATGTGACCAAGACCTCACAATAGGCCCTGGCAGGAGAATCTGTATCTCCCTCCTCTATGTCCAAAGTGTCCGGAGTGCTTTTCCAACACCCCTCGCTTGGTTTGGCCTCCATTAACTCCCACTCCCAGAGGGGACAGCAGAGCCTAGTGAACCTGAACTGGAACACACGTACAGACAACAAGGAGATCTGTTTCTGCTCTGCTTTGTTAAAAGCCGCTCTAGTAATACCAGTAATGTTCAGAGCATTACTAAGAGCAAGTGAGCAATTCCAATGGCCCGGAAGAACATTCACCGTGTCTGCATGGCACACACATGGGTTCTATTTCTTCCCTCTTTATACCGAAGCTAAAGGCAGCCCCACAGATTTGGGTTTTTGCATTTACAAAGGCATCAAGTGGAAGTTATATGATTAACTTCAGCAAATATACATCTGATTTGCATACCCACCCGAAGTCTGGGTTTTGGAGAATCCATATTCCCAGAATTCCCAGTTTCCTGGGGAGCTGCTGGTATAATTCCCTTAGGGAAGCTGAGAAGAATAAGCCCGAGACCCACCAACGCACCACCACACAACACCGACTGGTGGCCTCTGTAAGTGCATGGGCTTACCTGGAACATCGATCAATCTTTTGTAGACATTCAAGAAGGCTGCCTCAGCTTCTTTGCTTCTTTTACTCAGTGCATCAATCTGAAAAGCAATACAAGAAGGAAAAGAAAAACAAAGAGCTCAAAATTTGTCAAGAGGTAATTGAGAAATCATCACACATCTAGTGAGTTCCCATGGCAAACAGAAGCCTGGTTCCTTCCTCTCGGGGTAAATGGCTGAAAACACACAAAAGGGCACCAGTCCACGTGGGCCCTGCTGGGGAGGGTAACGAGGCAGGAGCAGTGCCGTGCAGCCACTTGCAACACTCGGTCCCACGGCCCAGCTGAGAGAACAGTCCCTGTCCTTCCTGTGCAAGCATTTACTAAGAGTTGGCCGTGTGCCAGACAGTGTGTAAGAGGCGGGGGGCAGAGCGAGAGCTCCTAGCCCCAGGAGCCATGGTCCAGTAGGGGAAACAGGTATGCAAACAAGGGATTAAATCCCAGTTGGGAAAGACAGAGCCACGGGGACACCGAGGAAGGGCCACCAAGCAGGCAAGTGGGTGACATTTGAGCAGAGACTGCAAGAGTAGTTCACCAGGTGGGAAGGAGAGGCATTGCCTGAAAGGGGAGGAGCATGTTCAAACACCTGGAGCAACGCTCTTCAATCTGGGGGTTCACAGATCCTGGTGAAGAATGTGATGAAAGCCAAGGACCCTCCTCCTAAAAACACATGCATGCACGGTGATGTGCTCTACTTAAGGACACTCACAGGTCCTCTTGTGTTCTGTCCACGGGATCCAGATTAAGAACCCACGGATGGGGCTGTCACAACACACCAGGGAACATGGGGGTCTGCTGGGCTGGGAACGGGGATGCTTGGCTGATGAGACCAGGCAGGTGAGCAGGGCTCAGGTCACAGGAGGTGACATTCAGGAGTTTTTGCCCCCACACAGTGAGCAATGGTGTAGGGCAGTAGAGATGGAGGAAAAGAGGCCAACTGGGGAGAAGGGGGTCAAACCGAGTTGATAGGAGGCACAGAAGAATGAGGCAAATCGAGGATGGCACCCAGGTTTTCTAGCTTAGGCACCAGGCTGGTGACGGTGGCCAGGATCGGTGTGTCTCGTGGACTCACCCAGCCGGGCTAGTGTAAAGTCTCTTCATCAACAAAAGGGGACACGTGAAACTCCCAAGTGTGCCGGACACACATCCAAAGACCCCCTGATTGCTGGATGAACTCGGTACGTATTTTGCTCACATAACACACTTGTTGAGACATCAGATCACTTTTTACACCTGAAGCATGCAAGATGCTACATGCACCAAGCTCATATTGGCTCAGGAAAAGGACACTAAATTACATATTCCTTCTGTCCCCTCACAGAATTATACTCTCTGTCTCCAGTGTTATTAAAGAGGCAAAAGGATGTGGCTTAATTATAGGGTCCCTCGCAGGAGCCAACCAACAATTTGTTCAGGGCCGAAAGAGGCCACCTGATGAAGGATAGGAAGACGCTGCGGAATGGGACCCAAGGGCTGGCGGGGGACAGGTCTCAGGAAATCCAGTGCAGAGCTAACCAGCATTTCCAGTTTCTAGCCAGTTGTGCTCCCAAATTCCCATTTGAAGTCAGTTGTTTGGAACTCGGATATATTTTCTTCCCATAAAATAAGACTGATTTTTTTTTTTAGGTGCTGAGGAAGTGTTTGGAATAATCCCCAAGGATGACTTAAAAATGACAAGACAGTTCTCTATTTTTACAATAGGGTGGTCCCCCCGCCCCCCGCCCCGAGTATTAGCGACTCAGGCTCATTGTAGAATTAGAGAAATTAAAAAAAAAGAGAGAGAGAGAGAGGAAAACAAAAATTCTAATTCTGCCACTCTCCAGTAGAAGTCATCCTCTGTCTGGTTTCTAATTCCCTTCAATTTTTTTTTCCTAATTAAAAAAAATATAGAGTTGAATGAAATGTAGTCACATAGGCAAACTTCAGAGACAGGAAGTAGGGTAGTGGTTGTCTGGGGCTGGAGAGGATGGGGGTTTGGAGGAGGATAGCTTAGGGGTGCAGGGTTGCTTTTTGGGGTGACAAGACGTTCTACGGTTGATTGTGTTAATGGTCACACAACTTTGTGACTATACTGAAAATCAATGGGCTACAGACTTTAAATGGGTGAATTATATGGTATGTGAATTATATCACAATAAAGCTGTTAGAAATGTGTGTATCTGAAATTAAACCACATGTCAAATTTTGGATTGTGCTATCATAATGGGTAAATCTTCTCCAGTATCTATTGCAAAATTTGGAAAACGTCTTAATGGTATTATTTCATCTGCATCTAAACACCCCATATGTAGATGTTTTGAGTAAGAGTGGATTTGGAGTTACCTTCAGATGTCTAGCACACTCCCTATGCTCTGGGTCTTTCTGTTCCCTCTGGAGAGCAACGTGCTCATGGGGAACGGAGCTTCTGCCCAAGAAACAGGGTAGATGCCTTGGCTGCTCCTTGCTCTTGACACCGACAGAAGCTTCTCTACTCAGTTCACAACCCGCGTCGGGAGGGTCCCTGGCTTTCCAGGTATTCCCGACCAAGTGTACAAAGCGTAGCTGCCTCCGTGGTGGACAAAGGATGGGATCTGGAAGGAACCTGTCTCTCCCGCGGGGGTTGTTGATGGGGAGGGGGACATGGGGGTTGGTAATTTACACAGCACTCTTGGGGACTGTTATGGGTGGAACTGTGTCCCCTCAAAAGAGGTTGAAATCCCGGTACCCAACACCTATCAATGTGACCTTATTTGCAAATAAGGCCTTTGCAGGTGAGCAAGTTAAGATGAGGTTATTAGAGTGGGTCCTGATCCAATATGACTCTGTCCTTATAAAAAGGGAAACTCTGGACACAGACACAGTCAAACCCCCAGGGAGGAGCCCGTGTGAACACGAAGGCAGAGACTGGGGTGGTACATCTACAAACTCTGAAACACTAACAAACCACTGGAAGCCAGGAGAAAGGCCTTGGACAGATTCTCCCTCACGGCCTCACAGCCTCAGAAGGAACGGATACTGCCCACACCTTGATCTTGGCCTTCTAGTCCCCAGAACCGTGAAATAAATGCATGTTGTTTACGCGGCTCAGTGTATGGTACTTGGTTACGGCAGCTCTGACAGGCTAACACAGGGACCACGATTCTGGGCCACCTTCCTGCCCACCCCCTTGCCAGAAATGCAGGAGAATTCAAAGCCAGTCCTGAGAGAATAAGGTCAGGCCAATGAGCTTCATTAATTCATGAAGCGATTGGACGACGAGGTTTCTTAAGAGAGGCGATGAGTACTCCACGTGTGGTTGAGTTTCTACTCATTGAGGTCCCCGGCCCAGCCCCCTTGTGAGACTTCCAAACCTAGAAGGATTTGTGGATTCTGGGGATTCTGAGACTTTCTATTCTCATGCACTCTTTTCACGCCCCTATGGTCAGCACCCTCAGCCGAGACCAGGCCTTGGAGTCTGAGCTCTCCCTGTCCCGGCTCCGTGCTTCCTATGGTGGGCTTCCCTTGGCTATCTCGTGCACCTGCTTCCTTGACCACCCTTTGCTCGAATCCCTGCTGCTGAACACCTACTCACGCTCAAAGAGGAGGGCTCTGAGCTGGGAGGGAGGAAGGGGGGCCCTGGAGCTCAGCTGGCCAGCCTTATCTGTTCAAGGGGGTAACGGCGCCCACCTCCCATGGCTGGGCGGGTAGAGGAGGTCACGGGGGTAAGGCGCTCACGGGAGGGCCGGCTACCTGACAGTGACTTCGTCACCTTCAACAGGGCTTCCTGGGCGTGTCCATGTAGTTAGAGCCCTGGAAGCAGGCCGTGCCTGTCCACCTTTAGCATTCTGTGACGATACCCTGCACTGTCCACACCAGTCCGCAGCATGTGCTCAGGTGTGTGTGCTGCCTGCCTTTGCAACCATGAGCCAGGGCTCAGCCCGGGGGCCCTGAGAAGCGGTCCGAGGTAAGGTCTTAAGGCGTAGATGGTCAGAAGCAGGATCCGGGGTAGACCCTCTGACTACTTCCTGTGCAAAGATAGCCTGAGGTAGGGAGTCTGCCTCCCATCGCCACCCCCTTAAAGCCATCGTGAGCGAGGGCAAGGACAGAGGTGGCCACACTGGGGCAGAGCTGGGGAAGCTCTGGAGGCCCCGGCCCTGGGGAAAACCTGTTCTGCTCCAGGGATCAGCCTCACCTTCTGCCACGCCCGGTTACTCCCTGTTCCCTGCACACAAGAGCAATTTCCCCGCAGCCTGGAAGGCGCCTCCTTGGAATGTTCCTCTGATCCTTGAGGCTCAGCTGACCCGTCTCCCTGCTGCCTGTCGGACACTCCCATCCCGCCATAGGATTGTCCCGAGGTTCTAGGACTGCAGATGAGGCTCCCTCAGGAGACCCTGGGTTCCCTGAAAGCCCACGCTACGCTTTCTGTCCCAACTGCCTTTCCTCCCAAATAGCACACAGGAGGTGGTTAATACCTTTCCACTGTGTGCGTGACAATTTGCCTCAATCAATCCAGTTTTACCTGCAGAAGTGAGCCCATGGTTAAGGGATCTGGTTTTAATCCTTTATGAAAATGCTTAATATGTAAAGAGTTCTTTGTTTGGGAAGTATGGTTCCTGTGCTGACGTGATGACAGCCACTTGCTGGAGCCAGTGCACTGGAAGCACCTTTTCCCACTGCACGCGCCCCCCCTGCAGCGAGCTGGGTGTCCCCACCAGCTGGCAGCCGGGCGGCCGCTCTGCGAGTCTCCCGGACCCAACGGTTACTCTCCCAGCAACATCACTGTTACCATGCTGAGTCTGCCTTTTCTGTACTAAGAATTAAAACCGATAGAGAAAGAAGTTTTTATTCTAAATCTGAAACAATCAGGGGGCGCCTGGCTGGCTCAGTCGGTGGAGTGTGCGATTCTTGATCTCGGGGTTGTTAAGTTCGAGCCCCATATTAGGTGTAGAGATTGCTTAAAAATAAAATCTTTGTAAGCAAAAAACCCCAAAAAACAAAACCAAACAAACCCCATTTCATAAATTTGCAATAATCAATAGTTGCTTACAGTAGCATGCACACTCAGAGGCCGGGTTTGGAGACAAGTTCATGGAAGTCCCCAGTGAGACCCCTGAGATGGTGAGGGGGTTGAGCAGCTGCCTGACCCTGTGGACACTGGCAGAACCGCGCTGTGGGGTTCTGGGAGTCCTGTGGAATCTCGAGGTGTCGCTGCAGATCACTGGCCACCTGCACGCCGCTGCCACTGCCCAAGACTGGTGGGGGAACAGCACCTTCCGTGCGGGGCTTTCCCGCCCCACTGACGTCATGTGTGACCACGAGAGCTGCTTTGGCCAAAGCAACGTAAGCGACAGTGCCACGCGCCACGCCGGAGCTTAAGATTTAAAGCGATCACATGGTTCGGCCACTGCGCTCCTTTCTTCCACTGTGAGGCCAGCGTGACCCGTTAGGAGCCACCAATTCTACTGGGATCTCGCAAAGAAGACCACACACGGTCCCAGGGCCGTCACGCTCAGCCCACAGCCAATAAAGATGTCATACGGGCGAGAAGTAATCTTTTGTTGCACGGGCCACTGAGATTTGGGGTTGCTTGTTACAGCTGCACGATCTAGTAAAGCTGTCTGTTACAAGTCCTAGGGTGGTTATATCGCTAAGATAGAACAAAGTAAAAATAAGGAATTGACAACCAATATTGTGCAGGCCGAAGGGAAAATGGAATGATAAAGTAGAAAGGGCACAGGACTTGAAACCAGAAGACTGGATTTACGACAGGGCTCCATCAAGCATTTGGAAATATTAAGCCAGCTACGTACCCTTTGCCTCTTTGAATTTTATTTTCTATGCCTAGGAGGAGGGAGTGACCAGAATGTCTGCCTTATGAGCCCTGGAGAATTGAACGAGACCGAAAATCTAACAGTGTGGAGTGATTTTGGTGTTGGTGATAATTACTGACTCCTGACATACTTAGAAGATGAAACATCACACAAATATCATGTAAATTACGTGTCATTTCTAGAGGGTCAGTTAGAAGAGAATTTACACACTCAAGGCGTCAGTTTTTGTACAAACTGCCACGCTACTTTTAACAGAATTAACTGCTTCCACCAGTCCCATAATCAGCACTCACGGTGGGGGGGGGGGGGGGGGGGGGAGGCCGCAACTTTTGAGGGGCATGCTCCTGTCATAGGGTGACATTCCCTGGGAAAGTCCCTCACCCACCTGTAACTCGGAACATTAATGGGTTTGAGGCTTTGGAGGCTGTGACTTGAGTTTTCAATAGGACTCTCCTGTTTTCTGCAGAGGAAGGAAATGTGGGGAGAACGACTACAAGCGTGAACTTGAACTGGATGATGCTTTGTGTACGACAGAAAAAAGGACAGAACAGTGTGATATTTACAGATGTATAAATCCTCCTTGACCACCAGCCTTGACCACCAATCAATCAAGAAGTCCTAATCGTTTGGCCTCAGAAATCGATTTCAGAATTATAATCTCTCCTTCCTTTGATGCTTTAGCCTTAATTGACATCCTCCCATTACTTCCAGTGCAGACACTGCAGGCCGGTACCCGGCAGATCTCCGTAACTATAGTTTCTCCTTGCCACGGAGTGTGATGTGTCCTCCATGGGGGCCCTGGGTCACTTTCCCAGCACCCAGAAAAAACATGGAGCCGCTTTACCCTAATGGCTTCTCCTCACTCCCAGACTACCATCCACACTCCTCGGGCTGAGGTCCCAGAACCTTTCCCCACATGGCCCTTGATTTACACTAACTTCACCTCCCACCAAATCCCACCACTGACCACGCTTGCCCACACCAAGCCACAGTCCTCCCAACACACCACACCCCTTCATGCCTCCAGGTCTTTATACACTAGTTCCTCTGCCTGGAATGCTCTTCACTCTGGGCATGGGGGAATCCAGCCCTCCTTCATGAGTCAGTCTAGGTGACGCCTCCTGTGTGGTGTCCTCCTGATTTCCCTAGGCACCACTGGTCACTCGGTCCTTCTGCCACCTAAGCTCACTGTAAATCTCTCTCTGCCCACTTCCCCCACCAAGTGATGATGACTCACGTGCGTGAGCTTCCTCTCTCCACCACCCTGTGGTCTATCGCAGGCCAAGGGCAGTGGCACCTTCCACTCTTTACCCCAGCATCTGGGTCCTAACTAATACAGGAGGCTGCCTGGGAACTATCTGTGAGTGAGTGCGGGAAGGTTCCGGGCAGAGAAGGCTGCATGGACTCAGGGACTCCTTGGAACTCACGGCAGGATTCTGCAGCATTGGTTATTTTGCAGAATCGGAGCGGAGATGGCAGTTTCCTATAATTAAGAGCTTCAAGGAGGCTTTTACTAGCTTCTATTTAGTCCAGTCTAAAAAGTGGGAAGCATGAAAGCCAAGCTCGGGCCTAGTTTAGGGAAGAGCAAACTTCCTCGTCAGAATGAGAGAACCCTGGGGAGGTGGTGGCGGGGGCGGGGGGGGAGTGGCGGCGGCGGTTTGGGTTTGAAGATGAAATAACCAGGTGATGCTGTCTTTAAAATGGAGAAAATAAGACCTCTTCAAGGGCTTTTGGTGAGTATTACGAAGGAATGTGCCTATAACTCGGCTGAGCACCTGGGAGGCCCAGAACACTCCTAGCTGCTATCATTTGACAATGAATGTCCTGCTTGTATACTGGTGAGCCCCGAACCTCCCCGAGGGTGGCCGTGGTCTGGGTGCCACAGTGTGGACTTTTTACTTAAGGATTACCCAAAAAAATATGAAACACACTGGTCTTGCTGCTCACCCAGTGTAGTATATTCTGAAATGCAAAGGCTCATCTTTCCAGGGAGCCGCCCAGGCCTCGCCAGGCACAGGTGGTAGGGAGGGCAGGGCCACACGGGGCCAAGGGCCTGGGTACAGTGTCAGAAGAACAGGGTCTTGAGTCCCGGCTCCAGCACCAACATAGGTGCACTACCATGGCCACTGACTTAACCTCTGTGCCTCAGTTTCCTTGTCTGCAGAGTGGGGAGAATAAATCTTGGTTGCTGTGAGTGGTGATGGAGCCCCCAGATTGGCAACACCACTTCTCAGACGGGGAAACTGACCAAGCTCAGAGCCAGGCCCCTACAGAACCCCACCAAGGGTAAAATGACACCCCAGCACGATGCCTGGGGCCGCACAGCCAGTGGAAAGAATGCATGCTTGGAAGGAACAGAGACTCGGGTCTGAAGCCAGCCCTGGGGCATGCTTGCTGGATGACCTGGAGGTGGGTTCCTTAAACTATTTACACCTCGGTCTCTTCATCTGTCTAGGGAATAACTCCCTCCTTGCTGAACTGTGAAAATGAACCACGAGAATCTCCCACATCAAGTAGCTGGTACAGTCAGGAGGGTACAGAATCAAGTAAACATCAGAAACTTTTCTGGAGACGATCCAAAGGCAGCATTCTCTTCCCAGTGCCCCATACACTGTCCTCCTCTGATTCAAGTCTTGGGGACAGAGAGACACTTAAACAACATCTAAGATACCACGGTGGCAACAGCCTGCTCATGAACAACCCACTAGCCTGTGTCCCGGGAATGTACAAGCTAATGATTTAGAAATAAACATGGACCATTAACAGAATTTCCAAATCGATGTGCTCTGCTGGACTACAGGCTGGTAAGGACCAGCAAGAGCTACAGGGACAAGAGACTGGCCCTGTCTCACTCTGCATCTTTCAAGAGCAAAACATGATTCACAGAGCCGCGTGACCCACCGGAAGCCAAAGGAGAATGACCAAGATCCCATCCAAAGCAGACACATACGTGGCCACAGCTTTGGAGTTCTAACTTTAATTGAACACAGCCACGTGAAAGGAAGGCATACATTTTCTTTTTTTTGAAGATTTTATTTATTTTTTTGACAGAGAGAGACATAGCGAGAGCAGGAACACAAGCAGGGGGAGTGGGAGAGGGAGAAGCAGGCTTCCCGCAGAGCAGGGAGCCCGATGCGGGACTCGATCCCGGGACTCCAGGATCATGACCTGAGCCGAAGGCAGACGCTTAACGACTGAGCCACCCAGGCACCCGAAGGCATATATTTTCTAAAGCGAGATCACAGTGGCAAAAGCATGTTTGCTATGAGCCCTGTGGGAGACACGAGAGGACCCCAGGGGGGAGGGAGCCCCTCTCCCAGCAGCCTGGTCACCCTTGGAGCAATGCGGAGGGAGGAGAGACGGGGAGCAGGTGTGGGAGCCCAGCTGCCACCACCAGCTTTCTTTCTCAAGGTCACATTCCATCATAACTTCCAACTCGCACACGGAGTCCAGTGAGGAAGAATCACATCCATGATACTTCCCATCACAGGGAACAGAACGAGGCTAACTGGAAATCTCTACATGGCTCGAAGCAGGATGAACGAATCCCACAGGGCAGTTTTGGTTGGTTACGAAGGCAATGCAGCGTAGATGTGGGTAACAACACACAGTTGCTTCTTATATAAACCGGTGGAAATATTCCTTAGCTACCTGCCCCCTGCCTTGACCAAATGTCTAGGAGAAGAAAACTGGAGAGAAGTCCAGAGAAGATAGTGCCATGAAGAATGAGAGGGGAAATAAAGATGTGGGGCCACGGAGAAGAGATCTGTGGCAGAGGACAGCGTGAGAAATATTGTAAAGACCGTGAAAACAGTAACTAGCATCTCTATCTCCCTTTACCGTTGGCCGCGCACATCTGACGTGCTGGCTGTCACTGTGTATCTGAAGAGCTGCTGTTGGGAAGCAGGATTAGCGATCCACTCTCTCCCCAGAGTGCAAAACCAGAACCAAGAGGTAGAAGCTACGAGGCAGATAACAGCTTCCCAGTGGGAAAGCCTCTGCCAACAGCATAGGGCTTCAGAGGTGGACCGTGAGGGCCGCCTGAATTGCTTACTGGTTTGTTCATTCTTTCACTCAGTCAACAGAATCATTTAAGGGGTGGCTAAAATGTGGCAGGCGGTGGGTGTGCTATCCTATCCTCTGGGGCCAGAACCGACCCCCGTCCCCTCCAAGCCTCACAGGAAAATCACAGTGGGGCTGTGGAGGAGGATGAATGTCTACCTGAGTTTTTTTTTCTTTTTATTTTCTTACCTGAGGTTTCTGAAACACGGTTTTTGTGAACAGACAATATATGTATATCGTAAAAAATGGGAGGTATAAAAACATATACAGTGTTCAGCAAGATTGCATAATACAAGATCAATACACAAAAATCAATTGTCTTTCTATACACTAGCCATAAACCATTTGAAAGTGAGAGTTTAAAACGTTCATGGATCGGGAGACTTAATATTGTTAAGATGGCAAAAGTCCCAAATCGATCTACAGATTCGGCGCGATGCCTGTCAACATCTCAGCTGGCTTCGCTGCGGAAACTGGCAAGTTGATCCTTAAGATTTGTACTGAAATGCAAGGGATCCAAAACAGCCAAACAGTCTTGAAAAAGAAAAACAAAGGTGCGGGACTCACACTTACTAATTTCAAAACTTAACCGCAAAGCTACATTGATCAAGCATGTGTGGCATGCTTCTGCCCCTCCCGCTTGTGATGGATCTCTTGCTCTCAAAATAAAAGAATGAATGAATGAATGAATGTTACAGATACAGCTCTGCACCTCGTGTTTTGCACACTTGGGTTAAGTTTTGAGGAGGATGATGAGCTTCCTTCGCGGTGGGAGGGCGGGGACTGCATGGGGAAGAGGAGCCTGGGCAAAGATGGAGTGTGTGCTGCCTATCCAGGAGGTGCGGGGGCCTACTGGGCCTAGAGCTCAAGCGGGTTGGAGGGAGAGACGGGGTGGGGGCGGGGGGAGGAAGGGGCTAGGCCAGGGGCCCAGCTTTATGCTGAGAAGTTGGGGATGTCAATCAGGACGTGACCTGAAGTCAAGGGATCACACTGGATGGGAAGGCAACTGGGGGTAGGGTGGCGGGGAGAAAAAGGTGGAAAGAAGCTGTGTTGGGAAGGTGGGAGCCAAAGCAAGTGAGGTGAAGGAAGCAGAATTCCCAGGGTCTACTGGCAGATGCCGGTCCCCTCAGAGTTCCGGCCAGGGGGACTGGGGGCTGGCCATCTCCCCTGAGATGGGAGACACAGACAGGTGTGTGTTTGGGTGTTTGTGTGGAGGTAATAAGTCTTTGAGAAGTCACAGGGGAGCTCCCAGGAGGCGCGATGTTGAGAGAGGCCCAGGCCAAAGGCCAAGATTTGGGGCCATCAGCCCCTAAATGGCCAGACGAGGTTAACTAGGGATGGGATGGGTGTGCAGTGAGGGCCCCAGAAGGCTGTGGCTGAATTCTGGGGGTGCAGTGGATTTAGGAGATGGAAGGATCTGGAGAATGCTATGATCAAGAACTAGATCTCGCATCTGTGGGGCGTGTTTTCCATAATACAGATGAGACACAGAAAAGCTGGAAGGACCCATTCAAGGCCACGCTGGTAAAAGATGACATCAGGAGTGAAATCCAGATGTGTCTGATTCCGAACTCTGTGGTCTGTCCATTTGGTTTTCTCTGCAGCTCTAGGCCTCCTCCCTGGGAAGGAGCTGCCGCAGGCCTGGGTAAGAGGGGACAGAGGACAGAAGCCGGGAGACAGTGTGAAGGAGGAAGGAGCGGCA